GATAATAATAAGGATAATAATATCAATGATAATGATAATGATAATCATGATAATTATAATGATAATAATAATGATAATGATAATAAATAGTTACAATAATGGTAATAGTAGCAATAAGACTATCACAATGATAATAGTAATAATAATAATTATATTGATAATAATAAAAATAATAATGATGATAGTAAGGATAATGATAACTATGATAATAATGATAAAAGTGATAATAGTAATAATGATAATGATGATTATGATAAGAATGATAAAGATAATGATAACAACAATGATAAAAATAATTGATAATGTTAATAATAATATAATGATAATAAGAATGATTACAATAATAATGAATATAATAATCGTAACAACGATAGTAATGATAATAACAATCTAATAATAAAGATAATAATGATAATAATGATAACAATAATGATAATTATAATACTAATTGATAATGATGATAATAATAATGACAATAATAATAATGATAATAACAATTATAATAATGTTGACGATAGTGATGATGATAATGATAATGATGATAATGAGGATAATAATGATAATGATATTAATGTTGATAATGATGATAATAATGATGAGGAAGATGATGATGATAATAATAGTGATAGTAATAATAATAATGCCAATGAATATGATGATAATGATATTAACGGTAATAATATTCATGATAGTAATAATGATAATGATAATCATAATAACAATGACAATAATGATAATAGTAATGATATTAATACTAATAATAAGATAATAATAACAAGGATGATAACAATAATGATAAAATTGTCATAAAGAATAATGATGATGATAACAATAATGATAATGATGATGATAATAATGATAATGATAAATGCAATAATAATAATAATAATAATAATAATAATGATAATAATAACAATAATAATATTAATAATGATAATGATAATAATGATAATGATAATGATGATGATGATGATATAATAATGATAATAATAAATTGATAATAATGATAATAATGATAATAATAATAATAATGATAATAATGATAATATTAAATGATGATGATAATAATGATAATAATAACGATGATAATAATAATAGTAATAATAATAATAATGATAATAATAATAATAATAATAATAATAATAATAATAACAATAATAACAATGATGATGATAATGATAATAATAATAATAGCAGTGATAATGATGATGATGATGATAGTAATAATAATAATAATAATAATAATAATAATAATAATAATAATAATAATAATAATAATAATAATAATAATAATAATAATAATAATAATAATAATAATAATAATAATAATAATATAATAATAATAATAATAATAATAATAATAATAATAATAATAATAATAATAATAATAATAATAATGATAATAATAACAATAATAATGATGATGATAATGATAATGATAACAATAATGATAATAATAATGATGAGGATGATAGTAATAACAATGATAACAGCAACACTAATATAGAAGTGGACAACGAGCGCAAGTGCAGTTTACAAGCTAAATTAATGTCGTTAAGAATGACTCACAGAAAAGAGAATAAAAGTGTCCACACTAGAGAAGCCATGTCATAGCGCGATATATAAAGCAATGAGAAAGTACGCTTGAATTCCAGTGCATATACATTTTAGATCCGTTGTCCTTGGTTATTCATTCATTGGGCGGATCAGCTGATATTTGTTTACTTGAGCCGCTTGTCAAGTTACACATTCCATCTGCCAGTGTAAAGTGACACGTAGAAGGGCCAGAGCGGTTTAGAAGTGATTCGCTCTCCACTTGGAAGAGGTGAGGTATATTTTTAGAGATGGAGTAATGCAAGTCAAGTGTTAAATTGAAGAGGAAGATTGAGGTGTACTGGTCACAATTCTCGATGCTGAAATCGGTCACAACATGTATATTTATTGATTTATATATTGATTTTATGGGTGTTTGTGCAAATTCCAACCGGGATATCGGAGAGAAGTTTATCCAAAAGTTTCATAGTATTTCTTTAGTGTTATAAACGGTTAAAAGGGCGTGACTGTATACTCCCTTAACTGCAGGCCAGCATTCAGTTTTCTGTATTTTGTATCCAGTATTGAAAGGTAACACCAACAAAAGCACCAGACATTATCAGGAGTTTTTGGCATATTATTTTCATCTATATCACATCAAAGTAAACCATATTTACTTTAAAAAAAAACTTAATTGGAATGTAGACTTACAAGGGATAGATTGCTTATCGAAAAATTCACTTGTCATTCATTTTCCCACTGCATCTACATTGTTTCATAATAGTGATATGAAATTTAGATATATGGAACTTGTATGAATAGTACTATTTAGACGTAGTATCTTTTAGATAATTGTCATTTTATTAGTCATTAAATGTTTTCTTACATTCACAAATAATGTATTTATTTGCATATGTAAATGTGTAGTTGTCCAGGTGTGTGTGTGTGTGTGTGTGTGTGTGTGTGTGTGTGTGTGTGTGTGTGTGTGTGTGTGTGTGTGTGTGTGTGTGTGTGTGTGTGTGTGTGTGTGTGTGTGTGTGTGTGTGTGTGTGTGTGTGTGTGTGTGTGTGTGTGTGTGTGTGTGTGTGTGTGTGTGTGTGTGTGTGTGTGTGTGTGTGTGTGTGTGTGTGTGTGTGTGTGTGTGCGTGCATTTGTGTGTGTGTTCTGTATGTATGTTAAGGGTTCTATTAAAAAAAATGAACTTGTTACATGGCATATGCAGATCCAATTATATGTTATATATAATGGATGGCAAGAAGCCTTTCAAACTAAGAAAAGTAGCTTACATAGATTGACTCTATGGTTTCTGAAGGGGTGGAAAGTTTGTGTACTGTACATTATGATTCTTAGTATTACATTCGGTAAACTGTAATAAAGAATAAAGATATATGAGAAAAGCAGTGATTAATCAGATTTTGGCATATTGCAAATAAAAACATGAAGCAACGATTGTCTGATACCAAATGTTACAGATGATATGAAAAAGTAGTACATTCTTTCAGTGGGAAGAGATTTTGGGTCTGATCTTGGTCACTCCTACATGGCTTCCAGTCGTTAGGTGATATTGGAAGGTGGAGGAGCAAGCCATAAGGGTGACTGAACTGAAAATCAGTGCATTTTTGCTTGAAATAAGGATATTACAACTGACAGTGCTGTTTTCTGTCTTACATTATTTTGAAAGAAGATAAGCTAAAACACTGAAAATGGTATGGTTTCTCTTTCTTTTGTTTTTGTTTCATATCATGTCTAAATTGGTCAATCCCACTTCTTTTTACTTAGGATACATATTGGCTTTGTATGTACCTAAACTAGGATGGTAAGGATGAGACTAAGGATTCTGTAATCTTGTTTTCATGCTGGATACTTTATATGTATATTATGAGTATTCAGTTATGCAATGAGGAAGCCTTTCTCAGATCTATGCAGTTCATAGGATATATGATTAAGATTAAAAGTTTATAACTATAACTATCATCAGTTACCTGGTACATTGATGTGTTTGTCACAAATACATATTTGTCCTGTGTGAATGATGCTTTTCAGTGATGATTTGTTTCTGATTCTGAACTTGAATAGTTCTACATTCAGGACTAAATTTGCCTCATAAGTTCATTATTATTTCCCTTTAATACCTGTTTGCTCTTATTTTGCCAGTCTTCCTTAAGCAATGTTCCTATAGCTTCCCTAGCCACAGATATACTCCATTTCACTCAATTGCCTTTTAAGTGTTTAGCTATGTAAGTTCAGTGAGTCCAACATTAGGTTTTTATTTGGTGTTTTGCATGATTGATGTATGCTGAATCTTTAGTAAGTGAATGGTTATTTGAATGTTTTGTATATATTTGTTAAAGGGAAGTTATTGATAGGTGATTGATAGCTAGTAGAGTTGAATAATAGACTTCTAAAGAATGCCATTTTCTTTGTCTCTTTTGCTCCCTTTGTTTTTGTCACTCTCTCTATCTCAGTCACTCAATTTCTTTTCCTTTCTCAGTCTGTTTCACTGTTACTGTCTGGTTTGTTGTCACTAATTGTCTTCTGTTTCTATCTGTTTTGTTGTCTCTCTTTTTACTGTGTGTCTATTTTTTTTGTTTCTGTGAGTTTCACGATTACCATTGTATATTTCTGTTCCATTGTTTGTATTTCTCTCTCTCTCTCTCTCTCTCTCTCCTCTCTCTCTCTCTCTCTCTCTCTCTCTCTCTCTCTCTCTCTCTCTCTCTCTCTCTCTCTCTCTCTCTCTCTCTCTCTCTCTCTCTCTCTTTCTCTCTCTTTCTCTTTCTCTTTCTCTTTCTCTCTCTCTCTCTCTCTCTCTCTCTCTCTCTCTCTCTTTCTCTTTCTCTTTCTCTCTCTCTTTCTCTCTCTTTCCTCTCTCTTCTCTCTCTCTCTTCTCTTTCTCTCTCTCTTTCTCTCTCTCTTTCTCTTTCTCTTTCTCTTTCTCTTTCTCTTTCTCTTTCTTTCTCTCTTCTCTCTCTCTCTCTCTCTCTCTCTCTCTCTCTCTCTCTCTCTCTCTCTCTCTCTCTCTCTCTCTCTCTCTCTCTCTCTCTCTCTCTCTCTCTCTCTCCCTCCCTCCTCTCCCCCTCTCCCTCTCTCCCTCTCCCTCCCTCCCTCCCTCCCTCCCTCCCTCCCTCCCTCCCTCCCCTGCCTCATTCTCTGTTTCTGTTTCTCATTCTCTGTTTTTGTCCCACTCTGTCTCTCTGTCTCTCTCTGTTTTCCCTATACTCTCTCTCTCTCTCTCCTCTCTCTCTCTCTCTCTCTCTCTCTCTCTCTCTCTCTCTCTCTCTCTCTCTCTCTCTCTCTCTCTCTCTCTCTCTCTCTCTCTCTCTCTCTCTCTCTCTCTCTCTCTTTCTCTCTGTCTCTCTTCTCTCTCTCTCTCTCTCCCTCCCTCTTTCCTCTCTCCCTCTCTCCTCTCCCTCTCTCCCTCCCTCCCTCCCTCCCTCTCCTCCCCTCATTATTTGTGTCTGTCTCTCACTCTCTGTTTTACTCTCTGTCTCTGCATCTCTCTCTCTCTCTCTTCTCTCTCTCTCTCTCTCTCTCTCTCTCTCCTCTCTCTCTCTCTCTCTCTCTCTCTCTCTCTCTCTTCTCTCTCTCTCTCTCTCTCTCTCTCTCTCTCTCTCTCTCCTCTCTCATCTCTCTCTCTCTTTCTTTCTCTTCTCATCTCTCTCTCTCTCTCTCTCTCTCTCTCTTCTCTCTCTCTCTCTCTCCTCTCTCTCTCTCTCTCTCTCTCTCTCTCTCTCTCTCTCTCTCTCTCTCTCTCTCTCTCTCTCTCTCTCTCTCTCTCTCTCTCTCTTTTTCTCTCTCTTTTTCTCTCTCTCCTTCTCTCTCTCCTTCTCTCACGCTGATTTTTATCTTTCTTTTTCTGCAGTTGTACATGTATTCTGTTTTATTTGAGTACTAGTGTTTTCATTTGCTTAATATAGAAAAAGTTATGAATGAGTGTATATAACCTCACTTGGCAGGAGATATAATTGATGTGAACTATATGTTTTGCTGAATGACGTAATGAAAATATGTAGTAAAGATTTCCTGCATTGTGAAGTTGTCTATTTTTATTCAGACATTTTTCTACATTAGTCACAGGGAACTTTTTTCAGTTTTCATTTGCTTCTCTGTTTCTTCTCAGTGTCGCATGCTAAGAATACCTCGACATCAAAAAGGAAATCGTATAAAGAAGGAAGTAAGTCACACATACAAAAAGCAGTAGTATTTGTCTTGGGCTTGTAGAAAATCTACTTTGGTAGAGGGCTTAACTCGTAAGATGGTATAGGACTCATGGTGATAAGGTGAAATATGAAATAGATGTTTTCAGGACTTTAATCAAATGATCATATTTATTTTGATAAAAACTATCTGGTGATTGATTTTTTTTTTTTTTTTTTTTTTTTTTTTAAGGAGTATTATGAGAAGAATGTGTAAGAACTTTCTTTCTTTCTTTTTTCTTGATCTATGAAGAAATAAGTTTAAGGGAAAATATACAAGAAAGAATATTCCCCAATATTTAAATGCTCTCATACACTTTGTACATTTTGTACAGAATGTAAAGGAGTGTGCACTCCTATACATTATACATTTTGTGGCGAAACATTTTAGAAAAGGGATTTGCACTTAGATATTGATTGTTCCATTAGGCTAGTCTTACCAAAGAGTGACATTAATGATTGTCAGCAGCAGTTGTTATATATTATGTTTGAATTCAAGTTTCTATTGAACTTGAAAAGAAAGTAATTCATTTCTTAGGAAAATATCATATTCATCTATAACTTATCATATTGATTCAAAGAGTTTATGTATCTGTAAGATGTGTACATATTTTGTAGATGCAACATAAGATTTACTTTGCCTTTGGTTATTTGGAAGAATGTAAGTTTCCATTAGAAGTACTTCCTACTGTAAGAATCTAGAACTGCTATGACAAAAAATCTCTAGAACATTTAGATTTTCTTTGTTTTTAAGAGTTTTTTTATCTACATTTTGTAGCTGAACAAAGATGTTAAATAGGTATTAGGTTGATACAATATAATTATATATATTAGATATAATTGATAATTTACAGTTCATGCATATTTTTATCAGAATAGCTTAATATGTCAATTTTTTTCTATAATGTTCAAAGACAGTTGATTCAACTTTTTTATGCTTATACAACAAGAACTGGACTTAAGAATTTCCACTTCCTTAACCCTACTCACGTGTTTCTTTTACCTCCTTTGCCACTGTTGCGTCATCCTTCCTCATGTAAATACTTGTGCATCAGTCACTAGTATTCTGCTCTGTATTTAGTATTATGGTTCTGATTCCTGGTAGGACTACAGAGTTTGGCATTATAAATGAGAAAATGGATGTTTTTCAAAAAGAAATTCTCATGATATGATACTTTCTTCAGTTATAAACATATACACTCCCAGGAAAGATGAAAACTGACAAGCTAAGCTGTTTATTGCTGTTGTATGGTTTCTCTGTTCAGAGAGATGCTAGATGTCACAAGTATATTAGTAATTAGTAATTTTGCTGTTGAATTTTACATGTCTTGTTCCTTTATTGAGTTTGTGCTTCAGTATTATTGACAAGTGAATAAGGAAGTCTTGATAAATTACTATCTTCAGATAAGTCATAGAGCATAGGGAAAGGAGATGAGCATCTTCCTAGTCCCTCCCATCCCCCTTTCATGTCCCCCTCCCTCCCAGCTGTTCATGCCTCCTCCTTCCCACCTCTCATACCTTCCTCACCGGACCCCAGATGAAAGCACTAGAAACAGAACAGTCACGAAGAGAACAACACTTGTAAAGGCTGCTCTGCTTTGCTCAGTGAAGAAACCTTGAACCTTCATTGTGAAAGAAGCAGAATTGAGGCTATAGAGTAGCAGAGTGTGGCACTTCATTAATGTAATTTAGTAAAAGGACCAGGAACTGGAAGCAGTTACATTCTTTTGCATAACTGTGCAATAGAAATAATGTCTAATTCATCCAATATGGC